GCTCAAATATATACATGACCTCTATAAATGCACTTTTTCTTATTATTCTCTATATGCACGTTATTAAAGTGTGGTCCAAGGGCGTGCACTTAGAGAGGTCTGACTGTAACTTGCTTTTGAAATAGTTTAGTAGATCAAGTTAAAACCGATTAAATCAAACCGGTTCCAAATTCAACTGTATTGTTTGTTACACATTTGAGCACATGTTTAATAAACACCGAACGTATTTACAAAAATAAATTTTATATTTTATAGCATGACTTCTCGCTTAACGGGAACCAAGACTCCTAATGGCAAAGGCTTCCAGGATCCTGACGAAGAATGTCCTGTTTGCAGGAACACTCGATACCTTACACCCAATATGAGGTTGCTTGTGAGTGAATGTTATCATAAGATGTCGGTAAAAATCTTATTTTGGATTTTTTTTTTCATATTGTAAAAAGAAAGATTTGTCCAAGATGAATTCGATCTATTATTAGGTGTCAATCGTGTATCGATCGGTTGTTCGCTAATGGTGCGACTGAATGTCCTATCCCAGGTTGTAAAAAGACATTAAGAAAAATAAGCTTTGTAGAACCGACTTTCGAAGATTTGAGTGTTGAGAAAGAAGTTCGAATTCGTAAAAAACTTGCTCAACAGTAAATTATATTTATATAAGGTTGACTTTATTACGGCTCGGCTTTATCACGAAATACTTACTAGATAATGAATGTCTATAGGTTTAATAAGCGTAGAGAAGACTTTAATGCCCCAAAGGAATATAATGACTATCTTGAAATGGTTGAAAAGTTGGGTTTGTTTATGTTAAAAATTAGTATAACTTCATGTAAATGGAATTTGACCCTAAAATGAAGTGTTTGTCTCAAGTTTAGTATGGAATCTTAATAATGATATCGATCTGGAAAAAACGAAAGCTCGAATTGAAAGTTTCGCCACTGAAAATAGAGAAATAATAGCGAAAAACGCAAAAAAAACAGGTATATCTAACAACTCTTTTATAATAAAATACGTAATAGAATTAATTCTTATAGTTAACCATTAATTAGTTCGAAGAAGAGGAATGGGCTTCTAGAGTTCAAGATAATGAACGAAAAAAAAAGAAGAAAAATTTCGAAGAGTATACGAATAAATTGGCCGAAGAAAAAAA